CCCCCCCCCAGATGAAGATATCGAGGCGAACCTCAGGTACCCCGGGATCACCCAGTTTTTAGTCCCAGTCGCAGCCCCCTTTACCTTTTCCTCTCCTCCCCCTCCCTGACTCTTTCCGACCGTGTGAAGAATAAAAGCAGGGAATAACGATTGCATCAGTGTTTATGCACTGCCAATTACTTCCGAATAAGTCGGTCTGTGAAAACCAAATATTTCATAATCTTTATCGTACGCATTTCTCAATTGGACGAATTCCTCCTCTGATATCATCGAAAAGAAAGTATTTCAAGTATTTCAGAAAGTCATTAAACTTGGTGTAACGTTCGTCGGTGACCTCGCCCGTGAAATTTTTGCGATATTTGTTGGTGATACTTTTGCCATATTTCTTGTGATATTTTCTTCCTTCATAATCCTGGGCAAATTTGTTCTGGTATGCTGAAACTATGCGCTCCATAGGCTCACGAGCAAAGGCAATCTTTTTGTATGTGTGTAGCATGCGGACGACTTCACTGTTGGAGTGACGTTTCAGAGCGTCTAACAGGCCCATATGGTGCACGATGAATCCTTTAATTTTGGTTGTGTTAAAATACCCCTCTAAAACTAGAAGAACGCTTTTCCAGTTACTACATGCAACCTTTGGGACGAAACAAAACAGCGTTTTATAGCGACTGGACACCAGAACGTGATGCAAAGTTGCTTTAGATAGTCCACCACTTTGTTCACCACACCTAGTAGTGTTTCTCTGATGAAGTCTCTTTGTGTCAGTATTGACCTGAAGAAAACAACAAACAAACAAACATGTAAGACATCAGCCTTCTCTAAAAACTAGATCACCTCATCCATTGAAAGTCATCCCGCTGCAGACATCCCGTAACACCTCTAAGTATAGTGTCTGGCCAAGAACTTTCACTGACTGGAATAGTCTTCCATTTGATTACTTGTCGACAGATTCTTTCGATCACAAAATTTAAGGCCTCTATCTGTGACCACTTGTTTTGTTGTAATTTTGTCCCATTTTATTTGAGCTTTCCCTTTCTCTTTTAATCAAAACTATAACAAAATTCTCGAACGTGATTGGCTATCAGCAGCCCGATTTGAGCATTAATTGGACAGTGTACGCGTCAGGCTTGTAATTGGACAGCACGCGTCATTTTGCGCGCGCTGTTGCGGTGCACTTTGTTGAGTAAACTGCTGT